CCAACCAAGGAGTCTCATCTTCCACCACTAGCTCTGGTTTGATTTTGAATTGTCCCATTTTGAGGCCAGCAATCTGGCCACCACATTCAGGACCTTCCAAATATCACAAACCTCCAGAAATGGGCATAGTAGGCAGGTACAGAGGCTTTAATCATGCAAACATACTCCCAACCACAGTCCAAAGCTGAATTTAGGAGTTATCCAAAATGGAAATCTGAGTCTTTAGGGGGAATGTAAACTCCAGCCATTCCAGGCTGAAACCCTTAACCCATTTGAGCAAGGGGATGTAATTCACATGCCATGAGGATGCAATGAATGCTGTCATAAAATGATAGAGCAATTTACAAAACAACCATTCCCCAGAAGGCAAACTAAGACTAAAGGAAACATAATTTGCCAAAGAATCTCAGCACCACCTACTTGAACCTGTAGTTCTCTCCTCCAATACGTGCCTCACAGAAGACAAACAGGTGAGGCTTGCTACATGGAACCTGTCCAAGAAACTGAGTACAAGGCTGAAGTGAAGTCTGAGAGACAAATACTAAATCAAGTATAGCCTGCAGAAACTAAAACAAAACACTCATTTCACAGAAGGCAAACTAGTAATACAGTGGGGTCTTGACTTAAGAACGGCTTGAGTTAAGAACATTTTGACTTAAGAACCGCTCTCATAGGAAAATATTGACTTGACTTAAGTACTTAGATTTGAGTTAAGAACGGAAAAAAAACCACATGGCAGGCAGGGAAAGTGCAAAATTTGAACTTTCAGTTAACTGTTGGCCAGTGAAAAGGGTGCCTGTCTGCTTCCTCACTCCTCCCAGCGTTTAGAGAGTCAATTGGGAGTCTTCAGACTGCCTGGTACTGCCTGGACTGTATTTTCCCTGCCTTCCCTGAACCTTTCTTGACCTAAGAAGAAAAGAAACAAAATATCCCCCTCTAGTGGTCGAAGGCGGAATAGCAGCTTCCCATTAGTTTCTATGGACGGAAAAGAGCAGATACAGATCAAATGGTTTTCAATGCATTCCTATGGGAAATGCAGATTTGACTTGAGAACATTTTGACTTGAGAACCGCCTTCCAATACGGATTAAGTTCTCAAATCAAGACCCCACTGTACTCAGAGGAACACAAACAGGTGAAATATCTCCTTATATAACACCCCCACAAAACCACCAGACACCTCAAAATATTGTCCTCAGGACAATATATATGCTTCTCACAGTGGTAAAGTCCCTGCAACATTAACCCTTTGGTGCTTTGAGAATTAAATTATTGATCATGTCATGCGTGGATAAGCGGGTGCATTTTATGGCTCTAGGTCTCTCTTGTACTTCCTTGTTCAATCAACAATTGTTGCTGTATAATCAAAGCTATTTGTGTTTCAAGTGAAAACTTCATTACCACACTTCTAATTCTCCATTTTAAACTGTCAGTATGTTGTTGTGGGTTTTTCGTGCTCTTTGGCCATGTACTAAAGGTTGTTCTTCCTGATGTTTCGCCAGTCTCTGTGGCCGGCATCTTCAGAGGACTGGAGTAGGAACTCTGATGGAAGAACAGCCTTCAGAACACGGCCAAAGAGCCCGAAAAACCCACAACCATTAGATCCCGGCTGTGAAAGCCTTCGCGAATACAATGTCAGGAGAATTTTTTTTATTTGATTGGCTAAAATCCAAGCTTTGAAAACTTGCTCTTTTTTCAAAATGTTGGCATCAAGGTGCCCTGTCAGCCCTCACACTGGATAAGCCAGTGTCTCACTGTTTAGGGAAATGTCTCAAAACACAGGGTTTGTATTGCAAAACACTGCAAATTGACTTTAAAACTATGGCATAAGCTTGGCACGAAAAGGCCAATGTTGCATTGTTGGAATCAGTTACACTATTTTTACTGGCACTGCAAAAGATTTGTAAAACACACACATGCATTTTGGCATAGATTGGAGTGAAAAGATGTTGAATTTGAGATGCTCAGTAGGCCCCTATGCTGAATACGTCAGTTTCACGAGAGGCACTGCAAAATTCTGGGTTTTAACTACAAAAGGATTCTAATTTTGCATTTGTATTTTATGTTGTATTGACCACATGGGTCCTCTTTATTTCACGGTGTGGTAGGGTGCTGCAAAATGTGGTGGGAAAACACTGCCAAAAGATGGCAAAAGTTTGACATAGTTTTTAAAGAGATCCCAAATCTGGGGATTCATAGTTAACAAGGCCCAAACCAAGGTCATTATAGAGATCAGACAGGGCCTCTCCCTACAGTCCTTCAGAAAACCATTGAAAGCTGAACCTTGTGAGGCAACCTTTGGCAACCGCTGATGTTAAACTCTGTGACTCATCTGTTACTTTTTTTATATTTAATACTTGAAGTTATTATTATGTTTTATTTGTTGTATTGGATTATATTTGTTTACCTTTTTATTTATTGTAAATTGCCAGTACCAAAATTAATAAATAAATTATAGTGCTTAAAAGACAAGAAGTGGATTGTACTCAGACAATTTTATTACTCTTTTTAGAAATCTGGAGGTAAAGGAAGGAAGGAAAGTGGCTTCTAATCACTTGAAGCCAAATTGAAACGTTAATGAGATGTGAGAGAGTGGAGATTGTTATGGACAGGTACTTTAAACAGCATGCCTTTTTGAGTAATTCTGTACTAGAATGTTGTATAGATTTATACCTTAAGTTCCCACCTTAAACATTGCCAGAGAAATATGTTTAAAAAAAAAAAAAAGCTAGATGACATGTTATATTGCCTACTCAAACCATTCAAGACATCCTTCCAAATGTTCCTTGCCCACAGATTGAAACTTATTGCCTTTTCACAAGTGGGGACCTGCCAGCGGTCACATTGAAACACTTCTAGGGATGGTTTGTGCTGCCCTACTTTGCCATTTTTTTCTCATACACACACAAGAGGGTTCCTTCCCCCCATTTTTTTTCTGCCATGGGAGCACACCAGCCCCATGAAAGTGGGGTCAGCAGCCCCGCTGGCCTTCCCTCAGCCTAAAGCTAGATAAAATTATAGTATCATGCATTCTACCAATTAAAAAAGAATTGAAATCCCACTCTATATCTGAAAATATTCTTCACTCCTCCCAAACAACGAGGAATCCTCACAATGTGAAATGGCCCAGGCCTCATCTTGAGGATTTGGAGGGGCTGTGAGTGTGACCTTGCAACAGAATGCTTCCTCAGATGAAAACCCAACCAACCTTCAGAAAGCGAGCCAAGAAAGCCAGCAGTTGCCTTTGTTGCTCTTCAGGACGCAGGAAAGCTGCCGCCTTCTCATACTCCAAGAACTGCCTGGCGAGGGTCTCCCATAGAAAAGATGGGCCCTCCTTTCCTTGGTTTTCAAGCTGAGTTTTGATTGCCATCACATCATTTCTTGTAGCCACGGTTTGATCTTGGCTTGAATTGTCTTCATGGGAATCCTTTACTTCTTCCAGCTGTTCTGGAAACTCTACCACGGTTGTCATGTTTGTTCAAACTAATCTGGAAGACAAAAATGAAAGGCATATATGTGTGTGTCCAAAAATTATTAGTCATTCTGTAGCCAATATTTCCCAGAGCAATAAAAAATATAAACAAAGCTAAAATCCACATCACACCAAAAGCAACATACTGTAATAAAATAACGTATCAAGCTACAGATGCTAAGAATCTGTCCCATTCCCTGCAGGCTGTTGCAGGGAGCTTTCTTACAATACAGGTGGACTATCCCCACATTTGGAGGTCAGCTCAGGCTGTCCCTTCATTAGCAAAACTGTCATTTTAACTGTTTACTAGTAACGCAGTTGCCTGCAGTGTGTGTGCCTGCAGTGTTGAAACTAATGAATCACTTTTGTATTTTAAATCTGGAAAAGGACTGCCATTCTTGCAATATGCTAAAGTAGGCATGTGATAATGTGGGAGGAAAGAAGTGGGCTCAGGACTGACAATGTTATATTTGTTCCAGAGAAACTATGTTTTGGCACTGCCAGTGAAACCTTCACATTTCTCAACCTGAATATTAGCTCTCAGGGTGTTGGGTTTGTTCTCAATTACTCCAGGGCAGTAATTCTAAACCACTGCACATACCACTGATGGGACACAGATGCAGACTGGGTAGGGCATCGGGTTTTCATAACATTCCCCATATCCTCCAGCAAGTGTGAATTGTCATGTCCTCTCTACTATCTCCATCTGTCATGGATCTTCCATCTGTGACCTTTTCCTTTTTATTTTACCTTGAACAGTCAGCTATAACAATGCATATTTTTTTGTTTCTCATAACGTGAAGAAAATATTCTACCTTTCTGAGTTTTGTATGTTACATTGTTTCTTGGTCTACTTTCATTTGACATAGTACTTCTTTATTGGTATCCTTCTCAAATGAAGAAATGATTAAAAGATTCACATTTTATAGAGAATCATGCTGCTCCCCTAAGATTGGAGGAAATCCATTGAAACTGTAGGGAATAGAAAAGTTGTGTGGCTAAATGTGTGTTTTTGTTGTGTTTTGTTTTTGTTTTTGTTTTGTTTTTTGGTCAAATGGTGCAAGTGTATTCAGATTTTTTAATACTCACAGACTTTTTTTTACATCTAAAATATTTTAAGGCTGGCATTTTTCTAAGTCCAACCCCCTATATCATCTTTTAATGACATCCTTTTAAGGAGAAAGGTGGGGCAAATATGTTTTAAATAAATTAACAGATGTATCTTCTTTGATTTTATATTTCTCTGTTTTTATATATGTAAATTGTGTATATTTAAAATTGTCTCTATTTCTATGTTGTGAGCCGCCCACAGTAGACCATGTCTAGATGGGCGGCATATAAATGCAATCAATCAATCAATCAATCAATCAATCAATCAATCAATCAATCAATCAATCAATCAATCAATCAATCAATCAATCAATCAATCAATCAATCTCTCCTTACTAAATGTCAACAATAACAAAATACTTGCCGCACCATTGGCTATTGGCTCCAGAAGGTATCGCAACATTGATATGTACGGGTCAAGCTTCTTCTATCTAGTTGCAACAAATCTCATCTGTTGTTTGGAATGTGAAGACTTGAGAGGCGGTAACAAATGGAACACTCTCTAGCTTTTTTTCATATCTGGCAAGGATGTCCTCCTCTAATACTCAATATATGGGCCTGTCCAGACAAATATATAGCTCACTATTAGGATCTCTTTGATATGGTTTGGTTCAAATCTGATTACAGCATTCACTCATGTTTTGACTTATAGTGTTCCATCTCACCCTTTTTAGTGCTGTCCCGCTCCATTTTGGCAGAGCATTAGGGCTTCTGTTTTGTTGGCATGATTCGGCACACTCCTGTTTATTCTGTTGTGTACTCTGTGTGGGTGGTTAGTTCTCACTAAAATGGAGCTATTGTCATTGTTATCTGAGGTGACAACCCTGTGACATATTAGGTGGGTTGTAATATTTTAATGGAGGACAGGAAATCCCCTCCTTTATTTTCATTTATTTTAAATATATATTTCTCTATTAGCGCAGTGTTATTCTAGATAAACAAGATAACACTGGTAGTATTATGTACACCATGCTGGGTAGATGCATTACCATTTCACTATATCCATTTAACTAAAAGAAAGAAAATCATTGCAACCTATTGAACAACGGTTGTGGAAAAGGCAGTGAAGGGGGCTATGACAGCCCCTACTCCTCCCATTATTTTTGCCTTACTAGTTGCTTGGAAGGCAGTAGATGTGTGGAAGGTAAATAAAAGCAGCCCCCAGTGCCATCCCACAGAGGGGAGTGGGGTGGGGAACTGACCAATTCAGGGCTCAGCTCCCACTAGGCAGCACAGCCCCAGCTGAGGAGCAAGGCAAGAAAGGGGGGGGCGGTCACCTCCAACCTTCACCCAACGTTTTCTCCAACAGTGCCACCACCACAAGAATACTGCATGGCTGCGGTTGCTGCTGCTTCCTTACTTAAACTACGTAAACCTTACATGCAGTAAACCTTACTCACAAGTAAGTGGGCCATCCAAAGACCTGCCTGGACCCTTCTCATGGAACAATAAAATCTCCAGTGTGAACGGAAGGATCACCCAAGTGAGATAAGAACCTTTTAAGTATGAAGGAGACCTCTCCAAATTCCTCTCTTCGGACAGGTTTTCTGCTTTTCTAATGTATATTACCAAACTGCAGCTTCTGTAGCAAAGCTGATAACATTTATTGACGTGGGACGGGGGCTTTCTGGCTGTGCAATTAATTTATCTAAATCTGAGCTTATGTCTTTTGGGGCTAAGACTTTACTAGACTGTTAGCAAACTGGCAGTTCTACAGGTGTCCATATATCTTTGCCAGACCAGGTCTCTTGCAGAAGAATGGTGTCATATTTACAGTGGAAGAAAGGGGTATCATGGGTATGGGAGATACATCTGGTCCAGGCTGCCACATTCCATGATAAAAGTTCAACTTGACATGCAGATTTTTGATTGCTTTCTGGAGCACACTGACATGCTTGAATGTCTGGCGCCCCATTTCGCTCTTGAACTTTCAGTTCATCTACTTTTGGGGTCCTTGTGGCAGAGAGAATTTTAATGGGGTTCCTTTCCTTGTATATTGTTAGCTTCTCCAGAGCAGGCTGAGATACATCTGATGACTGACATCCTCTGTAGGTGAGAGAAGCAGATGGTGTGGGTAAAGAACAGTCTTTACGGGCCCAGTCTTTGTTGTTTGGGTTTCTTTGTGTCTCTCTAATAACAACTGATTAGTTCAAAATTGGGAAAGAAGTACAACAAGGCTGTATATTGTGCCCCTGCTTATTTAACTTATATGCAGAATACATCATGCGAAAGGCCGGACTGGATGAATCCCAAGCCGGAATTAAGATTGCCAGAAGAAATCTCAACAACCTCCAATATGCAGATGATCCCACTCTGATGGCATAAAGTGAGGAGGAATTAAAGAACCTCATAATGAGGGTGAAAGAGGAGAGTGAAAAAAAAAGTCTGAAGCTCCACATTAAAAAAAAACCAAGATCATGGCCGCTAGTCCTATCACCCCCTGGCAAATAGAAGGGGAAGATATGGAGGCAGTGACAGATTTTACTTTCTTGGGCTCCATGATCACTGCAGATGGTGACAGCAGCCACGAAATTAAGAGACACCTGCTTCTTGGGAGGAAAGCAATGACAAACCTAGACAGGATCTTAAAAAGCAGAGACATCACCTTGCCAACAAAGGTCCGCATAGTCAAAGCTATCATTTTTCCTGTAGTGATGTACGGAAGTGAGAGCTGGACCATAAAGAAGGCTGACCGCCGAAGAACTGATGCTTTTGAATTGTGGTGCTGGAGGAGACTCTTGGGAGTCCCCTGGACTGCAAGAAGAACAAACTTATCCATTCTAAAGGAAATCAACCCTGAGTGCTCACTGGAAGGACAGATCCTGAAGCTGAGGCTCCTATGTTTTGGCCATCTCAGGAGAAGAGAAGACTCCCTGGAAAAGACCCTGATGTTAGCAAAATGTGAAGACAAGAGGAGAAGGGGGCGACAGAGGACGAGATGGTTGGACAGTGTCATCGAAGCAACCAACATGAATTTGAGCAAACTCCGGGAGGCAGTGGAAAACAGAAGGGCCTGGCGTGCTCTGGTCCATGGGGTCACGAAGAGTCAGACATGACTAAACAGGTAAACAACAACAATAAAGGAAGATCTTTCAGCTCTACCTGGGTAGGTAATCTTTGTTACATCTAGGACTATGGAATCTTTGTGAAGACAGACGTTTTGTCCGTTTTTCCCCCATGCAATTTTCCAGGGCAATGTCTTCTTCATATGTTTTTGTCTTTTGCCTGCCAATAGTTCTGCGAAAAAGCTACTAAAGGGGCATATCTATTGCACATGAGCCACTCAGGGATGGAATTTGAGATAGTTCCAATTGCACAGGCTGGATGTATCTTCTCTTTGTACGGATGGTGTATTACGTTGTGACAACCCCAGACCTACTGGAGTATGCCACTCTGTACTTATGCTGCCACCAACCATTCCCTATAAGGAGTCACACAGACCAGGAATGGATTTTGATAAATAAAAGAACAAGGTTTATTGAAATAACAAACAGGGTAAATAAAATGATCAG